GGGCGGGGCGGGGCCGTTGGAGCGGGGCCGGCTCTGCCCTCAGGCGCCGCCGCCCCGCCCCTCGGCCCGGCCCCGGGTGCCGGTGTCGGTGTAGGGTCATTGTCGGTGCCGGTGCCGGGTCAGTGCCGGTGCCGGTGCCGTGCTGGGAGCGCACGGGGACTCGGGGGGTCTCCATAGCGATCACGGAGTCCAGCCACAGAGCACCCCTAAGAATCCCGCTGTGTGCCTGAGGGCGTTGTCACTCACTTCTTCAAACGCTTCCTAAGCTCTTCTCAGGTTTGGTGCTGTGGCCGCTTCCCCGGGGAGTCCGTTCCAGCCCCAGCAGCCTCCCGGGGAATGGCCTGCTGTTGTGGTTCGTTTAAATGCAATAGTACAGCCTGCTACGGACACCCAGCTTTAACCTGGGTTAGCGTGGTTCAGCCCGTTTTGTGAGGGCGTGACCCAGGTGTGCTCCCGGGCCTGCTCGGTGACACCTGCCCTGATGGATGCCGTGGAATGTAGAAGGATTTGGGTTGGAAGGAGCTTTCAGGCCACCCCGTTCCACCCCCGGCCGTGGGCAGGGACACCTGGCACTGTCCCGGGTTCCATCCAGCCTGGCCCTGGGCAGCGCCAGGGCTGGGACAGCCCCGGCTCCTCTGGCAGCCTGTGCCAGGGCCTCGCCCCCCTCACACGGGGGAATTTTCTCCTAAAAGCTAAACCCACTCTCTTTCAGTGTGAAATGTCAGTGATGCTTTCTGGGTTTGGGTGCGTTTTTCTGTAATTTTGTTGTTTCCACAGCCATGTGATGAATTCAGTGAGCCAGCTGCTGTCACAAGGCAATGCTTGCTTTGCCTTTTAAGCCAATACTTGAGTTACACACTGTATCAAAAATACACTGTTCACCCCAGGTTACACACAAAACCATTTTTTAAACATTTCCTGGGAAGGTCTTTGAGGTTAATTACCATCATGACACTTTTCAAGTAGGCAGAAATGTCCCAACAGGTGAACAGTTGACCAACATAATTTTTGGACGTGGCCCCATTTTTTTTTTTTGCCCCAGAACTATTCTTTACAGTTTCCATTCAATCAACTTTCAGTAACTGAAATGAAACAGAAAAATTAATGCATTGACCTAAACTTCTTATAAAATACTATTTTATTGACACAGAATCAAGCTGATGTATAGAGAAAGAATAATTCCAGAGCAGGACATTTAGCAGCTTTCCATTACTAATTGGAAAACCATGCAGGATACACAAAGGTTAAATCAGGAAGCAGATTAACTTTATATTTACCAGTAGATGTCTGCCAGCCTCGTTAGTTCTGGCTCATGTTGCACATTGCAACAGATGTGACGCAGTATCAATTTTAAAATCTTGATTAAGAGTAAATTACTTTCTACACTAAAATAGGCAATATCATTACTAAATTAGGTCATAACAACAAGTTAGCATCAGTATTTATTTGGATCTAATTATTTCAGCAAATACTGAGATTGATAAAACACTCTTTAGCTCTCCAACAAAGAAATTAGCAGATAATGCAGTTGAATACCAGTTGAAGAGATTTACCAGATTTTGTCACATAAAGAATTGGAAATTAGCTAATTATTTTGGTAGTGAAACTAAACCTCAAAGGCATCCCACACTTCCTCTTGATTTCAGCTCTGTCATGGTGGTAAAATCATTTGCAATTTGGCTAAAACACTGATTACTTTAGTATGCAGAAGTCCAAAACTATTGACATGCAATTTGCAGCTGATGCCTGTAGGGATCATTTTCCATCACTTTAATGCCATCATCTCAATTTGCTTCTCAGCCCTGATTTGTGTTTTTCTGTTGCATCAGAGAACACCTTTATCTTCTCTAAACTGTTCATGTTCTATTTCATTTTATCTAAAATATCTTCTCAGGTGTTCAGATATTCCTCTATTTAAAGATAAAATGTTTGAGTCAACATTACTGAGTTGTTACATTTTCAAAACATCCCCTTAAGCTTTCTCAATGTATATCCATAATATTTAGTAGTTCCTCATAGGTTTATGAAAAAATTCCTTTTCTTGGCTCTGCAGCATGACAGAGAACAATCTTTATCTTTGAGATCAGGTCTCGAGACCTCTCTCCAAGAACTAAAAATGACACAGACAAACTGTGAACAGTGAGTGTGCAAATGAGACAGAGTTTAGGGTTATTTATGCTTACAGTTCTTTCTTTCTGGTGCCTTTTATATCCACTGCTATGAAGGCAAAAATTGCATTAACTGATTGCAAAAGCCCGAGTTCAAACAGGCACTTGGAAGAGGGGAAAAGTCAAATAGTTTAGATTTAATAGAATTAAAGTTCAGTTAAAAAAAAAAAAAAAGCCAGATAGTTACGACAAACCCCTTCTTGTGAGTGGGGTTTTTAGGAGTGAAGGAACCTTGCCATCAGTTGTGGTGGCTGTCTGCTGCCACCGTGCCTTCCTTCCCCAGCAGTGACCTGCCAGGACACTCCAGGCACACCTCGGAGTTTATTGTCCCTGGTGACAAAAGCACTGAGTTTGTGATGACATCGGGCTGAGAGCCCTCCCTCTCCAAAACCTCTTAGAAAACGACCAGCACAACAGGATGGTCACAACATGACATGTGCAAGTGACAGTCACATCCAGGGGACAGCTCCCACACAGCTGCTGGGTTACAACAGTGTTCCACACACAAACAGCGACAGTAAAAAGGCACAGCACAGGTATTTTTAATCAGTTTATCAAAGGCTGGATCTCACAATAATTCAAAATACCCAAGTGCCAGCAGTAAGCAGAAATACCCAAAAATACCCAGCTGCATCTCTTGGTAAAACAGGAAGGTGGTTGATGTATGTCACTGTTAGCCTGGAGTGTTTTACAAACAGAACAATTTTCTAATTTTTATATTTAGGAAGTGGGGAATAAATCAAATACTTTATTTTGAGAAGTTTTCCTCTTCACAAAAATTGTAACTTAGCAGCTTATCAGTATAAAATCACTGGGGAAAAAAAACACTGTAGGTTTTCAAACAATTTGTATAATGTATTTATGCTAAAATAAGCTATTTTGTATTTACTTATTACATCTATTACTCTTAAAAATTCTTCAGAATTTCCAAAAATGGTCCCAGTGAGTAATAGACTCCAGAATATATAATCACTTTTTGACAATTGTCTTATTTCTGTAATAAATGTGCATTTCTGTTTCAAGTGTTGACCATGCTGTATGATGAACCTCTGGTTTTAATTTCTGGCTTTGATCTAATGCATTATTTGAAGCTCTCTGGTTTTGTCTTGCTCTCCACTCCAAGAGAAGCTGTTCAGTTGGGATGTGAGTCACAGCTGTGCAGCATGACAGGAGGAAGTAGGCTTCTTCCCATTCCATCTGTTCTCAGACAAACCAACCACAGAAGGTTTGGTCCTTTTTTAGGTCCTAGCTCTGCTGAAGTCCATAAGCTTGTCTGCAAGTCTGGAGCAAAACAAACACTAAATCTTTCTAAGGAAATCAGGGGGCACATCACAGCTTGTAGCTTTCTCTTTTATTCATGTGAAAAATGACTGGGCAATGGAAGGCAGCAAAACTAGTAATACCAAATGGGCTTATGTCATGGTTAAACCTTTATATAATTTTTCTTGCTATTTTAAGGCTCATTTCTGTGAAATGCTTGATGTCAAGATGGAAGATGAGGGGCACTTGCAGCTTACATGTCTGTGTGTTTCAGCAATGCCTCACTTAGGGCATGATGTGATGCCTATAAAAGGCTTATTCCCATATTTCTGCTGAGGGAGTTACAGCAATAAAAAACTGAAGAGACACAGAGAGAAGTCTCAGGTCCTTGTTTATAAATATATAATGATGCCTCTATTCCAAGGAGCTCACAGCCATGTACAGGGGTTGCTGTGTGTAGTCCCATGGCCTTCCACAACAGTTGAAGCACTGTCTGTTGCTGCTTGCTGAACCTGAGGGGAGACATCAGTGAATGCAGAGCCTTATGTGGTTTTTGTAACTGAAATTCCTGACAGAAGAGAGATTGATCAGAAGCTACCTAAAGAAAATGCAGGACTTGTTTCTGTTTTATTCATATACCAGAGAAATCATCTATGCTAGAATCACATCAATGGGATCCATTTATTTTACAATGCTTTATTAATAATGTAAAGCTTTATATACTAACATTTGATTTTTATGCTCATTTAATCTGTTCTCTCTGATGCAGCAAATGCTGACATTTAAAAGTTGTGGTTCCTTTTTTATTGCTGGCTTTGGTTCCTCTAGAGCAGACTGACTGCTATATTTGAACAGTGTACATATCACATGCAAGTACAGGGTTTTTTCAACACTCAGGAAACAAATCATGCCAAAACTGCTTGTCTGGAATATCTATCCATTACTTGTGGATTAGACTATTTTTTGACATTAATTTTATGTCATGGTACCTCTCCAAGTTCAATGAAGATACTCTGAATTTCCTCCAATAGTGTCACTTTCCCCAATTAAAAATCTGTCATTCGTTAACTTGACAAAGAGATATCAACTAAAGAATTCAAACATCATTAAGCAAAAATTTGGAATCTCAGGCAACTGTTAGGTGAGAAGCTTTGAGTGGTAGCTACTGTCCAAACAGCTGGAATAAGTACTACTGTCTGGATTTAAAAACAGGAGGGCAGAGGGGCTCAGAGAGTGGCAGGGCAGAAAGGTGGGTAACACCACAGGTGGAACTAGAGTCCAGAAGGGAATTTTGGATGCTCACTGCTGTCTAACATTGACTTCTTTCTGCCAGTTACTCTGAATTATTACCTAATACTACATCATTAAATACCTGACTTTTACCACCAACTCAAATTAGGGTCAAGCCTTAATTACAATTTTTAAAGACAATTATGTCAGCTCTTTTAAGATGAAAAAGTGTCTGGAAACCCCTTTTTCTTCAGTAAGGTCTCTCTGTTTTGTGTGAGGTTTGGGGGGTTTTTGCTTCTGATTTTAATATAA